GAGCAGCAGACACACATTAAAGCTCATCCTGGATTTAACATCACATCCTCTGAAACTCTGCACACACTCCATCGGTCCCACAACATCCTGGTCCTGTGAGGAACTACACACCAGACTGTCCTCACGTTTTTCTACAAGCTTCCACTGAAGGACACTTTCAGAGCCATTAGTCAGCAGACTGCACCTGCTCAGCCAGAACAGAGTCCAGTTCACCAGTGTTACTGCAACTGGTCACAATAAACCAGAGACCAGCAGCACCAGTATGGAGACTGGGAGACAGTCTGTGTGTCCTTTTCCAATCTGTAACCCTACTACACATTACAGGTGAAAACTAATTATTATTTTCATCATTAATTTGTCTATTTATTTTATTATAGTTGCATCAATAATTAACTGTTAAATTTAAAAAAATAAAAAATAAATAAATGCAGAAAATCCTCCGACCAGACAAAAGGAATCTGAAAATGTTTGTGATTTTAATTGATAAAGACTTAAAAGATAATTATTTCTCATCAAAGCTGTTGTGAATTTCTATTGATCAACTAATCAATTAACAGACTTATCACTTCAACACTAAATGTGTTTATGATGCATCTAAACACTGTGGTCCAGTAAATCTAAACTAATCTGTAAATGTTCAACATATATCAGTCATAAACTCACTGTGAATCAGGAAACAAGAATTCATCTAATTTAATCTGTATTTTACTACATATTCAGGGCTGCAGCCAATGATTAGTGTCATTACTGATTATGTAACGAGTATTTTGTGATTAATCAATTTATTGCTTTTACTGCAAAATGACAAAAAAGTGAAAAAAAAAGCTCTTTAAGCTCCCAGAGTCTGAGGTGAAATTTTCCAATAAATTTTTTTGTCCAACCAACACTGAACAGTATTTAATTTAGATTCATGTTAAACAGAGAAAAGCAGAAAATGTTCATATCTGACAAACAGGATCCAGCAAATGTTTGAAAGTTTGTTTGATAAAAGAATTAAAATGATGAACTGAGTGAAAATGTTTGTCCACTGATTCTCTGTTGATCAGCTGATTGATTTATTTATTGATCATTTCAGTATAATATATGTTTATTATGGCACAGACACAGTGTGCTCAAGTCAAGTTAATCGAATCATATCTGTGGTTCTACTTCATATTTATTATTGATGAACAAACTGATCAGATCAGTTCATGTCATCTGGTCTGTAGTTTATAGAGTTAAATATGTCTGTAGATAAAATAATGTTTAAAAAATGAGGGATCACAAAACACCCAACATGAACTGCAACACAAATTTACTGTGATTTAAATAATATGACAAAGAGCTACAATGTGAAATGCAGAGAAACGTGATTCTCATCTCAGATCACAGCTTGTGTTGTCTGTTGTTTTGTGTTTGTGATTCTTGGTTTGTGAGTCTCAGTTTGTCTTTGTGCTGTTAGCATTCAGCCAGCAGCCTCCTTAAAAGTTAGAATTCAACTTCTTTCTACTGTCAGTTTGTCTCTGATTTATTCACTAAACCTCACTGCTGATGACAGATAACTTTATGTGAAGTTAAAGTTCACACGTCTACAGTTCTCTGACGTTTATCGTGAGCCGACGCTAGCTAGCTTGTTGGCTCCTTCGTTAGCTTGTTGGCTNGGTCCCACAACATCCTGGTCCTGTGAGGAACTACACACCAGACTGTCCTCAGGTTTTTCTACAAGCTTCCACTGAAGGACACTTTCAGAGCCATTAGTCACCAGACTGCACCTGCTCAGCCAGAACAGAGAGTCCAGTTCACCAGTGTTACTGCAACTGGTCACAATAAACCACAGACCAGCAGCACCAGTATGGAGACTGGGAGACGGTCTGTGTGTCCTGATCTAATCTGTAACCCTACTACATATTACTGGTTAAAACTAATTGTTATTTTTATTATTAATTTGTCTATTTATTTTATTATAGTTGCATCAATAAATAACTGTTAAATATTTTTTTAAAAAGAAAAGGCAAAAAATTCTCCGATGTGACAAAAGGAATCAGAAAATGTTTGTGATTTTACTTGATAAAGACTTTAAAGATAATTATTTCTCATCAAAGCTGTTGTGAATTTCTATTGATCAACTCATCAATTAACAGACTTATCACTTCAACACTAAATGTGTTTATGATGCATCTAAACACTGTGGTCCAGTAAATCTAAACTAATCTGTAAATGTTCAACATATATCAGTTATAAACTCACTGTGAGTCAGGAAACAAGAGTTCATCTAATTTAATCTGTATTTTACTACATATTCAGGGCTGCAGCCAATGATTAGTGTCATCACTGATTATGTAATGAGTATTTTGGAATTAATCAATTTATTGCTTTTACTGCAAAATGACAAAAAAGTGAAAAAAAAAGCTCTTTAAGCTCCCAGAGTCTGAGGTGAAATCTTCTCATTTCTTTTTTTTGTCCAACCAACACTGAACATTATTTAATTTAGATTCATGTTAAACAGAGAAAAGCAGAAAATGTTCATATCTGACAAACAGGATCCAGCAAATGTTTAAAAATGTGTTTGATAAAAGAATTAAAACGATGAACTGAGTGAAAATGTTTGTCCACTGATTCTCTATTGATCAGCTGATTGATTTATTTGTTGATCATTTCAGTATAATATATGTTTATTATGGCACAGACACAGTGTGCTCAAGTCAAGTTAATCTAATCATATCTGTGGTTCTACTTCATATTTATTATTGATGAACCAAATGATCAGATCAGTTCATGTCATCTGGTCTGTAGTTTATAGAGTTAAATATGTCTGTAGATAAAATAATGTTTAAAAATGAGGGATCACAAAACACCCAACATGAACTGCAACACAAATTTACTGTGATTTAAATATGACAAAGAGCTACAATGTGAAATGCAGAGAAACGTGATTCTCATCTCAGATCACAGCTTGTGTTGTCTGTTGTTTTGTGTTTGTGTCTCAGTTTGTCTTTGTGCTGTTAGCATTCAGCCAGCAGCCTCCTTAAAAGTTAGAATTCAACTTATTTCTACTGTCAGTTTGTCTCTGATTTATTCACTAAACCTCACTGCTGATGACAGATAACTTTGNGGAGGTCTTCACCAGAACAGCAGGAAAACACATCAAGTTAAACAGTGTTTTCAGATGTCGCTGCTTAAATGTGCATGAAAGACGAGTGTTTGCTCTCAATAAATGTCAGTAGTTTAGAGTTCTGGAGACACACTGACATGTTTTCCAGACGGTTATTTAATGTCAGCAGTAAGGTTTCATACATCAGTGATGAAAACAGACTGTGGACATCAGTGAAGTTTCAACTGTTAGTGGTTGCTGCAGGCTGAATGCTGACAGGTCAGAGGTCTGTGGACACTTCAGAGCTGCCTGCAGGATGTGACTGACAGTTCATCAGACCAATAGGAGAGCAGCACAGAGAAACCCCGCCCCTCAAACATAACCCAACAGACTGACAGAACAAGGTGTGATCATAGACTGCTATTATAAAATATAGTAAATGTTTTAATAAAATACTACCTCTTTGTGTTTCACGCAGATGGTCTTTGTCATATTTGTGAAACTTCAGTAAATCTGTAAACTTGACTTACATTTTATGTTTGATTAACTCTGGTGTGTTTCTGTTAACTCATACATTTAGCTTCATAGCAGTCCTTCTACATATTTAAATATTCTGGTCTCTATTTAGTGACAATTTTCTGAATTATCATTTACTGTGTAGTAATTCAGAAAATAGAAAAAAATCCCAATCAAGCTCTAAGAACCTAAATTAAAATCTTTAAAGTACTTGTTTTGTCCAATCAGCTCTTCACAGTATTTCATTTAAACTATTCAAAAATAGGAGCAGAACATTCCTACATTTCAGAGATTGGTGCAAGGGAGTGTTTAATGTTCTGTCTCATTAAAAGACAGAAATGATAATATTGTCATCAAAATTCTTGTCAAATCAAACTGTTCATGAACTGATTAATTAACACATTATTTCAGAGCTGTATGTGTTTAACAGTGTGTCAGCAGTCAATGAAAGCTGATTTGATCTATTGTATATATTTGCTTTGGGAAGGACAGGTTGGTAGTAGAGTTAAAATCTGTGATGTGTGACATACATCATCCATGTCGTCCTGTCAGTGAAGTTTATTCAAACACACTGTTTCTACTCTCATAGGAAGAACAACAGAAGCAGCATGTGTGTCATTTACAAACCAGCTGCATAGTTTAGAAACCAGACACTAACGTTAATGTATCTGCTGTGTGTTAAAATGTTGTGATAACCAAATTTTATTCCATTCAAAGTTGCTGTTGACGGATTCGCTGTGGACAGCTCAACCAAGTTATTCTCTGCTGCTTATCATGACGGACAGAATACAGTGTCAGTGCAGTTTAGCAGCAGATTGTCATCTCAGCCTCAGTGTGTATTTTATATTCACATATGTAAATGAGGAAAACATTTCACACAAAAGAACCAAACCAGTGTGAATGAAACATATTCATGTTTTGTGAAGAATGAACAGAATTGTTTTTAAATGCGACATTAACTTAAGATCGTAGAAAGTGTATTTAACTTAAAGCAATTTTGGACACACTGATGATGAAACTTCCAGTTAATCACTTCGTCCATTTTAAGAAATATTGAGCCAAGTTATTCTCTCATTTTTTTCAGTATATCATTTAATAATATGTTTTTGGTTTTTTGATCTTGAAAACTAATTTAATGTTTTTCCATATGTGGGTGTTTATTCTGTTTTTGTTTGTTTGTTTGTTTGTTTGTTTGTTTTGTGTTTTTAAAAAATAATTTACTTACTTATACTATTTTATATGTAAAGGAAGACAATAAAAGGTTTTCATAAAATCTGACATTCTGTACAAAATTAAAGTAAAAAGAGAAGCAGACACAATACACTGTTGGTTGTGTGTGTGTGTGTGTGTGTGTGTGAGACAGAAAGACAAAAAAAGACTGTGTGTGTAAATGTTTTTAAACAACTGTTCATTACTCACCTCCCGTCTGGTTGAAGCGCGGCTTTAGAATTTCAATGTTAGCTTTGAAGCTCTGCTCAGTACCAATGGACACTTGAGTCTGACTCTCCCAGTACTCTGGTCCTTCAGTCTTGGCTATCCAGTCCTGCTTGGGAATCTCTTTTTTAATGACACTGTCATAGTAAGAGAAAGGCTGGCCATCTACCATGCCGACAGTAACAAACTCTGGGAAGCCAGGTACTTCTGATGATGCCGTGTAGAAGTACTGCAGCGAATGTGTAACTGAGGCACAAGAACACACAATAACTCTTTTAAATAGCAGGTCACACTGAGGAAAACAGAAAACTCTACATACAAATATGTTCCATTAGTACAGCAATCTGGGTAAGGCTGTGGAAAAATATGAGACCAAGAGATTATAAAATCTGTAGTCATGAACAAATATAAAGGACTTGATGTGTAAACAAAGGCACACAAAGTTGTATTTAGATTAAAACACAGTGATACATCGATTTTACAATTTGAATTAATAATGCACATGCAGTTTCTACGCTGTGAGTCAGAGATTTTAAAATCACAATAATTTCAATTTTAACACATTTGCCCTGCCTTACTGCTCGTTTCACTTTATCTGCTTTATCTTTATCTTGATCTATTCTTTTTTCTTGAATCAACTTTAATCGTTGCTTGCCAAAAAAAAATAACAAACAAAAAAAAAACGGGATATTTGGACACGTACACTACCTACATGTAAAAAAAACAAACAAAGGCAGTTTTTAGTCATTATCGTCTGAGAAAAACTAGAAAAAAGTAAAACTATTATTTTAATGTAGAAGAGCAAACAACGCTACCAACAACTTCTGATTTTAATGTTCAGTCAGCAGAGCATTTTAAGTGATTTATTCGCATCCCTGTATTCTGGTCATGTAAATTCTGAGATAAAAAATCCAAAATTTATGTGTTTTATAGATTATTTGTCAGTTGCTTTGATGATTAATTTAGAAAAAAATAAAAAAGGGAACATTCAGTGCAAGATAAAGACTGCAGCTGCATTTATTCACCACTCTTCATATTGGCTCCAGCAGGCCTCAACACATGTTGTTCTAAAAGAAGCTCAAGTTCAGGGAAAGCAGTATTTGTTAGACTCTAAGATTTCATTTTACTTTCAATATTTGTCAAATTCAAACTTCATGTATTTATTTTTTAATTGTTTTTTTTTTAATTCAATTTATTAAAGTATAAATCACACCACTCCCCCTTTGAAAGTGGGCGTCTTTGCTCATTTTAAAAAAAATTTTAAATATATATTTTTTTTAATTTATTTTTAATACAACCAACAATGAAAAAATATTCAAACCACACACTGCTGTACCTTCATTTCATAAACAGTTGGTTTTTAGAATTTAGGTTTTATTCCCAGTATGACCAGGACTTTTTTTTGTTTTGTTTTCAATAAAACCATCTACACTATCAACGAATATTGAAGATAGTTTTATGAAAGTTTTTGAAACAATATTTTTTATTTTTATATCTTTCATGGTCATGTCTATACAGTTTTGATTGGTGATAAAATACTGACACATATTTTATGGACTTAAATTCCTTTTTCATTTCCTCCACCATGAGCTGATCTATATTTGCTGTGCGCCATGAAAAACTATT